TGTTATGAAATGAAATGTTATACTTTTTACTTTTATACTTTTTTTTTTTTTTTTTTTTTAAGGACACTGAGATCCATGTTTCCAACCAATAAAAAGAATTTATTCTTTAAAATCCTGGCAAGCCTTTATATAACTATGATTTAGTAATGAACAAAGCCTATTAAGAATCTGCCAGTGACACTGGATCATGGTGCATAGCTGAACTATATGTACATACTGTAAGTCCATTAAATTATGCCTATAAATACAAACATATTTTTGTTTTTCACTTAAGAATACTGATCTATTCACCTAGTTTTTTCTAATTGTGTTCTGTGATAACTTCAGTACTTTAGTTGCTTTTGTCTGCAGTACTATATTACATCTGTTGTGGGTATGTAGTATGATATGCTTGATGCTGCTGTTATTTTGTTCTGTTTTTTGTTTGTTTTGAAGAGTTTATCTGACTCAGGAGTCAGTGCAAGAATGGGTGGTGAAGTAGTTGCCAATGGAAAACCTTTCTGGGAATTTCAACCTACTGAATCTTCAGAGATTCAATACCAATACTGGATTTGTTCTTTAGAATAAAACCAGATAAAGTTAGAAATTCGGCCTAACTTCTGAATTATTTTTAGAAATCTTAGATTCTGTACAGCTTTTCTACACGTCAGGAAACACAGCTATATTCTGCAGTTTCACTGTAAAAGAATCCTGGGAGTTTAAGCTGTGTGGATTTCTTAAAGATGTTGGTCAATCTTATGCTTTATTGCATTCCTATTTATCTGCAGACTATATATTTAGTCTATTAAAAATTATTCTGTGAACAAAAACAGGTTCTCCATGTTTAGTGCAATTATTTGGAATTTAAATTGTGTTTCTTTGCACAGTGGGGTGGGAAATCTACTTGGAAATTCACACGCACAATATAACATTAAAAAAAAGACTATTTGAACTATCCAGTTCAATACTATGTTCTTAATACTACCTTTGCAAGTTTCCTTAGGAGCTTAGTGTATGCAAATTTGCAATAACCTAGGCATAAACTCATTTCCTTTTCTTTGACCTTTTTGCCTTGTCCTTGTATGATTTATGATTTCTGCTTATTTATTCATTTATTTATTTTCTGTTAAATACTCTCTCAGACATTTGCTTGGAGCAAAGCTACTGTCCAGATTTTTCCTTTGAAATAATCTTGCTTCAGGCTACTTTTAACTTTCTGAAATGCAAAGTAATTGTAGTTCAGATTTTAATTGTATGTCTTTTTCTTCTTTTTAAGTATATACTGCCTGGACACATTATCAGTTTGTTATTTAAAGGGCTAATAAATTTTTCTCAGTTGTATTAATTTGTGTTGCAATAGAATCCAAATTAATACTAACCCGAAGATCTTCTAATAGGAGAGTAAGGATGAAGGGTGTAATTAAATCTCTGAAATAAATTGCAAGATATTTCGTGAACGTCAGTAACATACTTGCAACCCTTTAACACATTTATTTTACGGACGTGTTTCAGGGTTGTGAGTATCAGAATTTTTTAAAATGTACTTTTTTCCCCAAAATAGTAATTATTCCTCAAGATCTGCTGCCCATTCTTGTATTTTTGAGTTTTTCCAGATTTGTCAGGTTCATTTTGTTCCCCTAAATAATGCTTTTAGAATTTCAAAAATATTCATATTGCGGTAGTGGTAAAGTAAGTGGGTTTTTAAAATTACTATTTGGTGTGTGTGTGTGTGTGTGTGTGTGTGCTATGTACAGAATATTTAGGTAAATTGATTCCTTTCAGATGCTGAGCACTTGGTCTCTCTGTAGCTGGTGATCCCTGCAGGAGCATTGGTTGATAGGTTACCTCAGAAATGAACCCACTCAAGAAATAGGCTGTGCCTTAAGAGCTGGCATAGGTTTATTGTTGGAGGGAAAAAATATAACATGGCAAATCCAGAATTAGTCACTGCAATTAATCAGTTTTAAAGCGATGGTTACCTGATTCCAGTCATGCTGGAAGCATACCAACCTCTTGTGAGTAAGCTGGAGGGAAAAGATGTCATCTGCTTTAGCTCTGGGTCTCTGAAGCATATTTCTTGGTATGATGAATGTCCTGGCAAAATATCTTGCTGGACAGGTGAGGTGCAGAGACTTAGCAAAGGAATTTTGTAAAACATACCTGTTTTCCACAGAGCACCAGGAAGTTTAATGACTTTGAAACAGAGGGGAAATTCCAGCTTGGAAATGGCAGCTGGGTGAATTCATCCTATAGACAGCATGTGCTCTCTGTCACAGAAGAACTTTCAGATTGAATCGGTCTCTGGAAAATACAGTCATATGTGAGGAAATGGTTTTCATTCTACGAACTGCTCTCCCGGACAGTGAAAATGTGTCTGTGTTTGCAAATTATCCCATATGATTTAAGTGACTCTTGAAGAGCTTGGGATGCGTAGACTGCAGGGGAGGTTTAGGAATAATAATTCACTTATGGGGAGAAAATCCAGAGGATATAAGCAGAGGAAAGGCCTTTTGGAGCACGTAACACATTTTGAATGTTTAAGGCTTGCTTTTGAAACAAATGCAGGTTACCTTCAAAGGGTCAAAGACTCGGCATTTTTGAAGGTTAGTAGAATAAACAGTCCACACTGAGGCTGTTTCAAATTGCTGTGTGGCACTCATGTGTTCAGTTGCAGCTTGTACTGCTTTGCATTCGCGTGAGGATAAAGGAGGTGACTGTAGTGGTTTCGGATGGACCTTGGTTCCACCCCTGCCAGCCCTTACAGAGACTGTTAGAGACTATCCTCAAGATTTCAAAGTGTTTGAGTTCTTCTCTCTGTCTGAAAAGAAATTTGTTACTGGAATGTCTAGATTGTCAGTGAATTATGGTCACTTTGGGGCAGTTTTGTTGTGACTCTGAGATGGGCTTAGGCCATATGTAAAAACTTAAGTCATCAAAGTTCCTTGATGATGATTCTTCATGATACTCCTAGTACTTTTCACATGAAGAAAAGGAATAGATTTACTAAAATTCCTGTTTTTACTTAGAAGAATTGCTTCCTCTTTTGAGTAAGGAGCAAAACTGTAATTTCTGCTCAGTGATTTTTTCCCCATTTCTGGTCTTTTGACTGTATATTTAACTAGGTGGAGCTGCGCTTACTTTGAGTAAGTCTTTTTGGGCATTTCTCTAGTGGTCATAGTAATCTATCTAATTACCGCATTTTATCATCTTAGAACCCCTGAAATATTGAGGTTAAAGCTCAGTGATATCTATTTTGGTATACTTAGATTTCACTGACAGCCTCAGCCAACACTGCCAATGAAACAGCAACTGGAAATCGGACGTAACACTCGTGTACTGCTCAGGGCACAATCCTTGTTCTGTGCTTCTAAGGCAGCTTGATGTATCTTTTTATTTAAATACTGGACTTACTAAATATATGAAATATGGTGCTTATTGAATATAGCTATATATATAGTATATGTTATATATGTAAGTCATTGCTACTGTTTTGCTTGGAGATACCTCACCCAAATATCCAGGCCAAATTCTGCTTATAATCATAGTCCTTAATAGGCCACGATCATAATCCAAGGTTAATATCTAATCAGAAATAACCTGCTTTGTTGCTTATTATGTTGGACTTTGGGAACTTTGCGAAGAGAAAAACTGTATATAGTTTTGGCACATAAAGGCATCAAAATAAAAATGAAGAAAATGCCTTGTGTGGCATCTTTGTTCGTGAAGCAAGTGAAACATAAATCTGTTTTGTCCAAATAAAGAATGAAAAATTCTGCTTACCTCTACATTCACTTTTCAGCACACATCTAGTGAAAAGACTGAGCTTAAGCAATTGACCTAACGAAAGCTGATATATTTTTTTCTTAGCAAAGCTCCTCTATCTTATTTTTATAATTTTTTTGCTTGCTTCTCGTGCTTTTCAGCAGCTCTGAAGTATATCTAAACCTCACATTTATAGGCTTTTTCTTAACACTCAATTAACTTGTAAAATCAACATTGCTGTTGACCACAGTTAAGCAAATGCAACAAAGGCTGATAAGGTTCTAATTAATTATGGGAAATTGTTCCTTCCTTGAGCATCAGTATGCACTGCATGCTCCTACTGGACAAAAATGGTTGGTTGTAAGCCTCCAGTCCTGCATGTCTAAACTTGACAGCGTTCCCTCCAACAAAACACACTGTGGTGCTCCTGAAAGATACGCAGAGATCACTCCTGGAAGCAAACATACTTCAGTACAGCTTCAGAGAATTGTTTTTGAAATTGTAAAACACTGCATTCGTAAACACATTCAAAAGAATGATTTATTCATATACTTCAGATAATTCTTTTCTTGTCTCTTTTTCTCTCTAATGGATTGCGTTTTGTTATATACAAATCATTTGTATTTGTCACACTAAAAACTGGTGGCTGAGAACTGTTTGCCTAGCTGGAAATCATGGGGATAGAGGAAAGCTTTCATTTTCCCTTTACAAACTTTCTTGGGATTGATTCTTGTGGTATGTCTATTTGGATTAACATGAAATTAAAATAAATGTATGGAATGAATGGAACGTGAAAAGCAGGAGAACTGCTTCTCAATTAGGGTAATCCATATGGTAATCATCTGCAAAATGAAATGTGTGAAGAGCAGACTAAGAAACGTGACTGTGGAAGGAAGGGAGAGAGCTACCCAGTAGCACGTGCTAGTTCATGTCTGGGTTGAGATGTTAATTTAAGCATTACTTCCTACTGTATTTTATTTTATTTAGGCTGTGGTAACATTGATTCTTAACTGTTACATCCCAGCTTGCTGTATAGGTAACTGGCAAGAGTACCATCAACTCATGAACCTAAGAATCCAGCTTGCTGTCTAAGCAGACAAATGGAGCTCCACAGAAGATGTGAAATACTGCAGTAACAAATGCTGGTTCTGCACTACACCCCAAAATGTATTAGCTTCATTTTCCTTCACTTGTAATATAGGAGGTGCTGGCTGGCAGCCCTGGAAATTGAGTCCTCTATTTCTCCACAGGAGAGGTATAGCAAGGGCAGCAGCAATGCAAGCTTCCCCACATTGTCCTGCCAATGTTCCTCAACCCAGTTCGGAAGAGGTCACTTCTGGAGGTGAGTGGGTGATGAGTCTCTGTCCATGCAGTTACTGCTGCCAGGACAGACTGTTGGACGGAGACTGGCCCTGTGTCTTGAATGAACCACCAGTCTTTGATAGATAATCACTTTGTGTACTGTACAGCGGCGTGGGCTGGATTCATTGAGGTTGCATTATTCTGCTTGACTGCTGTCACGTTTTGGTATTGCTTTTTGGTTGGATGGCACCTTTGTATGTTTTTCTTTTTGCACTGTTTTGTTTTCAGAGACTTTGCCAATGCTTTATGTACACGTCTATTCAGTAGCATGCGGATAACTGAATGCAGTCTGGTTGTGAATGTGATGCAAAAGAGCAGTTACTGATGGCAGCCATGTATGCAAGAGGAGCATTAGAGCACTAGACCAGGAGGCATGCTTTGAAATGCACCAAAAATTGATAAGAGAGTGAATGTTGGTTTTCAGTATCTAAATGAATGATTAGGTTTCTGTTGTAAAGCCGTATCTTAACATTTTCTTTTTCCATAATTACTATGTAATTTAGATATTAACACTCATTAAGCTGGTAAACTAATGCTCTTTTTTAGATTATTTTACAATTAATGGAATCAGTCTATCTAAAGTTAGACGCATAACATCCTGCTCTACGTGAAAGTCTTGTTGTTGCCGTTGCAGTAGGTAGTTGTCACCTAAACCAGGAGATATGTGATAGGTGATTTGAGAAGAAATAATGGAATTGATAGCAGTCTTCAGAATAAAAATAACAGATGCTTACACCCATGGTAAATGAATTTTTCATGTACATTCCTGGGTTTATTTAAGTGCTTCATACTTCCAATGCAGTGAGTACTATTCTGTTTTCAGCCAAATTTAAATCTCTCAAATATACAGATGTAATATAGAAAATTGAAACAAAGGCTTAGCAAGGCCATTAGGCTGTAGTGAATCATTTCTGCAGCTTCAAATGTTTTGTGAAGGATTTCTAACAACTTGATTATCACTTGTAGTTGAAGCCTGCAGGTCTGTATAACTCTGCTTATATGGCTGTTCGTTAGCAGGTATGATAGCAAAAGAACATACTACGGTTCAAATTTAGTGTTACTAATTTCTGCAAGATCTGAAAGAGTTAGTTTTCCTAACCGGAAGATTTTTCTTGTCTTTTGTTTGAGTGATATGGTTCAAAATATTCTTCATTCCATTCTGACTTCTTCTTTTGTCAGAGCGATAAGGAGTACAAGGTTTGGTTCATAAATAAAATCAGCAGTAGAGTCCTCTTGGGAAGTAAATTGTGACTAAATCATAAATCCAGTTTAAAAGTTTGAAGATGATGACAGTTCACTACATTAGGCAATATAACATTGGACATATTTGCTAATAAATCACCTTATTTAGTATTTTTATGGTGCTAACAAATCACTGTGGAATTGATTTTTCTTTTTTTCAGCCCTTCCAAATGCAGTGCAGATTGCAAGCTTCTCACTGACATGGGCAAACCCTCATGAGGTCCTGAGCTGGCCTCCCACACAGCTGTGTAGACTGAGCCATGCGCTCAGCTGAAACCTTCCTCTAGGTCACATAAGCCTTTGAAGACAACTGCACAATTTAGCACCATTAAACTCTTTGTGTAATGAACTTTATTTTAAATTGAAGTATAAAAATACAGTTAAACCATCATCAGTATGAACACAAAAAATATGGAAAGGGAATTTTCTCACATTGCATTTTATTCATACTGCATTCGTCTTTCTATTTCTGAATGTGTTATCTTCAACTTGTAATTAATGGAGAACCTGATTTTTGTGTGTATTTACTTTGAATAATGGTGATCTAAAGGAATCTACTTGTAAAACAAGGTATTACCCAGAGCATGAATAAATATGGCACGATAATTCTCAGAACCTTGATCCTGGAGCCCTAACTTGTATAAGGAATTCTGTTGATTCCAGTCTGACTGTCACATGAGAAAAGGCTTCAGCATTCGTAGTTACAGATTGTTATCCTGTGAGCTTCAATGTTATTATCCCTTTACCTCCCATTATATCCTAGTGATTTTACAGTCTCGCTGGCTGTGTCCAAAGTCTGGGAGCATGGGAAAGTCAAATCAGCCCTTAGAGAGCATATATATAAATACCTTCGCTGAGCCTCAGTGAGTTGATTTGAGGCAGTAGGTTTAATTCGCAAAGTCATTTTTCTCATAAACCCTTCTCAGGTTGGTGTTGAATAATAATATTCTGGACTGTGCATGGCCACAGTTGGGAACCCCTCTCGCTAAAACTTTGTTTCTGTTTGTGTAGATAACATGGGTCTCTATGTGCAAGTGATCTGGAAGAAGCTTTGCTTCTTCCTGATCTGTTGGAGGTATCTCTAGCAAAATATTTCCCTGACAGATTTGAACCTGGTATGGATTCCATTGGGCAGAAGTCCTGTTAGGTTGTTCAAAAGCAGGTGCTTATTTAATGCACTTAGATCTATTTCATGTGTCAGACTTCTAAAAATAAATGATTAAGATGGAGCAGAGGGAATTTCATATAATGACAACTTTATGTTATTGGCATCTGTAAGTAGAAGGGAGACTAAGGAACCAAATCTGTTGGAAATGAGAACTCATTTCTCAAATATCAGGCTGTACAACTGCTGTCACTGATTTGCCATGTAGTTACTGTGGGCTCCCAGCGTGATGTTGTTTAGTATTATGGTGGCCATAGGAATTAATTTGTCACCTGCCTTCCATGGCTTTATAGAAGATAGGATTTTATCCTCCGTCCACTTGTAGTTGGGCAAGTTTAGTCTAGCCAAGTTCATTGGTGATCAGGATGTTGTTGCTAATTAGCACCTATATGAGGACGCATACAGAAAAAGTTAGTTCATGTGTGTATTCAGTTCCTATTGTTCTGCAGTCTTACAAACTGCTGTTTCCAGTGGTTCGAGTGTTTGCACAGAAGGAACTCATTGCAGGATCAGAGCTGATACATTTTTCAGCGTGCACACACCAATCCTACCTTGAGACTTGAGAATACTCTGATGTGAGTACTATAACACTTTTTTAACACAATCCTCCAAAACCCTCGATAACATTTTAACTCATTTTATTATTTTCTTTTGAGCACTTGGAAATTAAGACCCAATAAAACTACTCTGGGGTTTTGTCACCTTTATTTTGTAGAAGAATACTTGAACTCAGACACTGAAAGCATTTTAGGAGACAAAATATTGCCAATGCAGTATGAGGTATGAGGACAAAAATAAAGAGCTGATACAGAGGGTGAATCGTTTTCCAGTGCTTTCTTCTTTCGACATTAAGACTGCAATATGGATTGCTGTCATCCTCTGTGTTCCATAAAAAACTAACTTACAAATCAGAATTGAATTTTCCTAATATGCAAACTAATAGATCAGCTGCAGAACTCAGTGCCAAGTTGTTGCTTTTTTGAAAATCATTCTCTGTTCCTTGAAAGAGAGCTAACGACTCAAGAATGGTGATGTTTTTAATTTTTTTTCTGCTTCAGTATGCAGGTGTAGCAAATTCAGAGTTAACAATCAATACTGAGACCCCAGCAGTGGGAGATTTTCCAGGGCAAAGGAAGTTCTGTTTGCTTGCACTTTCTGACTTAGGCTTTATCTGCTCTGCGTTTGGAAGCAAAAGAATTTTTTCTGCGCTTTAGTGGGTGTGACACCAGGGTGCTATGGATCTTTGTAAGCATTCTTTTATGTCATGTACTTTAGGCCCTTTTAAAATCTATCTGTAATGAATAAAATATTCAAGCAAATCTGAACTTCCAGAAGAAAGATGACTGAATTTGAGATGTTAGCTGGAATTTTAGGGCAGAGATTACTGGTATTTATGGAATTCACTGCAGCATTATCTACCAGTGCTCACCACAGAATCACAGAATCACCCGGGTTGGAAGGGACCTCAAGGATCATGTAGTTCCAACCCCCCTGCCTAGCAGGGCCACCAAACACACACATTCAGATCAGGTTGCCCAGGACCCCGTCCAACCTGGCCTTAAACACATCCAAGGACGGGGCACCTGTGATATTTGTGTTATGTTGACTGACATAGTGACATTTTTATTGCCCTGTGATTTGCCAAGGGAGGAGAAAAAAAGGCTTATATTTCTAATTAAATAGCAGACAATGATATACTGTATTCTGGCAATTCCTGACCAGGGTTGGGAAGACAAGCTCCTGTTTGTTTTTTAGGATAGGAACGGTAGAGAGAAATTCTGAACAGAAACGCTGATCTGGATACCAGTTTCTTTTTGGAAGATGTGATTGATGTGATTTCATTGTTTGTATTTGTATTTTGTATTACTGTAACTTCATGATGGAGGAGTCTCAGTGCTGAATCAATAAGTTTAAACAAAATCTCCCTCAGCCCAGTGGCTGCTGAAGGTACAGAGAACATTTTGGGGTGGCTGCAGCTAGATTTGTGCCAATGGGTGCGTTTTTATAGCATGCTCTCTCTGCTGAGCACCTGTGCAGCTGGGAGGTGATGATCTGGGCCGTGCACTTCCCCTGTTGCAGTTATACAGCTGATAGTGCAGAGACGCTGGCAAGCTCACTGTGAATTAGGTAACTCCACCTCTGTAACAGTGACTTCTTGTTTGGTGTGAGCAGTGCATGAGTGTGCTTTCTTATAGCTCATGGAAGAATCTGCCATGATTCTGAGAATCTCAAGGCGAAAGAATCTGGAAGACAAATTGAGTTGTGTCTTGCCTGCATGTAATATTTTTCAATCTGCAGTGCTGCTGGGTTCACACTGGTAGGGATAATTATTTTCTGGTATTTTCCTTGTTGTAGTATTTGCTTCCTTTGTAGGGGTGTTCAAGAAACCTGGAGAGGTGGCACTGAGGAACACGGCTGGTGGGCATGGTTGGAATGGGCTGTGGTTGGACTTGATGATCTTAGTGGTCTTTTCTAGCCTTAATGATAATGTGATTATTTAATATTTTGCTTGGGCTGTTAGCTGGACAGTGTAGGGTCTATGTGTTTATAGTTGGCTGTGCTGAGATCTGTTTCATTCGTTAACCACAGTTCTTGGCATCTTTTCACAAGAACAGGAAATGAAGTTATAAAATGTTACTTTGTAATATTGATGGACTGAGTTTTATTCAGATTGATTTGGAAACTATAAGCAAATGATGAAGCTTGCTGTTTCCAGCAGTTAGATACAGGACTGCTTGACGGTGGTGCACTGGTGTGAAGGAGTGGCTATTGTAGAATCATAGAATCATGGAATGGCCTGGGTTGAAAGGACCGTAATGATCATCCAGATTCAATCCCTCTGCTGTGGACAGAATCACCAATCTCTAGACCATTAGCATCAGCAAAATCCCAATGAATGACCATAAATCAAAACAAAAAGCAACAAGAAAACTCTCTCCCATACGGGAAAGTTTTGTAAACAGTCCACCTACCCCATGCACTTCCCACCTCCTGGAGCTTCAAAGCTTAGATGGGAATTTTTGTTGCGGACCATGCAATAGAAGGTCACCATTTTACATAAAGCACGTGAGCAGTTATGCTGTACTTCATCTGGAAAGTAAAGTATGTGTCTTTTCCTTTTCTTTCCGTGAGCCAAAACTCCCAGCACTTTCGTTGCTCATCTTTACAGGATCCAGTGCTGTGCTTGAAGGCACAGGGAGCTGTGGTATGAAGTGAAAGATCTCACTGAAATCAGTGTTGGTATTTTCAGCTAAGAGGAGACTTCTGAGGGTTCTCTCTGAGACTGAGTATACTTTAAATGTTAGATGTCATTTGAAAATGTGTAATGAATGGTGGGATAGGGAAGGAAGATGAGACCATAGCAATAAAATGGGAGGGTGTATTCCCTAAGGATCACCTTACCCCATAACCAATCCCATAAAGGTAGAAGTGCCTGATCATGCCAAGAGAGTGCACAGCCACGCATTCAGTACAAAGAGCAAAGGAGGAAGAAAGAAGCACCAACCCTGGAGGTGTTCAAGGAACGTTTAGGTGTTGTGTTGAGGGACGTGGTTTACAGAGATCTATTGGTGACAGTGGTCAGTTGGACTGGATGATCTTGTAAGTCTTTTTCAATCTTGGTGATTCTGTGATTTTAAGCAGTCCTATGAATATTCTTGAGAAAGCAGAATGTACAGAGAGCTCTGATGATGTGTACTGCATTTAGTCAGAGCAGACAAGAACAGCCAATGCGTTTAAGGGTTCATTTTACAGAAAGAAAATATTGTGAGGGTGGGAATGGGGGCATGTAACAGGACAGGTTAAGGCAATGAAGCTTTGGCTTTGCAATATTTTGTATATATGTTTTACATATTTATTTATATTAAAAGTTGGTGTACACGTACTCTTGATTTTTTCTAGTTAGAATCAGGTCTCACATTTAATTTTAAACATCTTTTCTTTGATCTGCCTTTTTCAAATAGAACATACTTTCGAGGGAATCTGCACGCGCTGTTATTGAAATGTAGGATTGCTAAAGGGTTTTCTGTAAAAAAAAAAAAAAGAAAAAAAGAAAAAAAAAAAAGAAAAGTAAATAAATTTTGAAGAGCTCAGTGTGCGCACATCATTTGTGTATTCTTGACTTTTTTTTTTTTTTTGTCCCAGTAGGACTTTCCTAGACAAAGCCTTTTGCTGCAGTAAACCTGCAGTGCTTGGTATCTTTGACCATCATTCTGTGACAGTCACACTGTTGTTTGGAATGCAAAAGATAAATTCATTATCTGTTCAGTTTTCCCTTCTTTTTGTGGGCGCTCTCTCAGTGCCTTTGAGTGCTGTGCTCCTGTCTTGAGGGCTCCACAGCAGGCAGAGGTAGATTAGCAAAGTCTTTAACTTTGCATGTGGTAGTTTCTACTTTTTGAAGTTTTCTGCAGTTGAGAAGGACTGGGTAACTCCTGAGTTTGCACAGGAATGATTTTTCCTCACATCCTTCTTTCCTTCTGCTAGCAGATGATCCTTTAAGGACTTTTGCTGGCAAGTTTTAGCCGCTGGGTGTGGTTGCTCCAGGGGAAGATGTTGGGCAGCCTCTCCTTGGTGCTCAGCAGAACCAGGCCACTGCTGAACCTGATGTAGTATTTTTCTCTTGGTACTTGTAGTAGCTGCAGAGATGAGGCTTAGCTCCCCACGAGAGTTGTCAAATGTAACAAAATATGAAACTAAATGATTGTTACAGGATAAATGCCTTGTCTTCATACTTCTCTGAAACCACAGGGGTACTTATTAAAATGTAAGCTCTAACATCAAACTTCTGTTCAAAACAAATATTACTTCTGAAATATAATTAACAGTTTCACAGGTTGAAGTAATGCCCATGATGCCTCCTAGTGCTGCTCTGTAGCACTACTTTCTTAATACTACTGTAATATTTCTATATATAACCCAGATTTAAACAACAAAAAATTTTAAATAACATTGGAATTTCATTTTGGTAATAGTTCCTCTGTCAGGCTGTGTTCAAACTGATTTTTCTCATTCTTCTGTAGCTTGTTCCAAATCCTCCCTGAACACTCAGCTCAGTCTGACCTCTACCACTGTGGATTAAAAAAATTGCAGAACTCCAGATGGTTCACTTCTTGTAACAAGGGCACTGTTTTTGGACAGGGATTTAAGTATGAAGCCAGCGATGAGTTAAAAATCCAGCAAAGAAAATAAACAGCTTTCATCAACAGTTTCAGACATCCATGAGTGGCAGCACAACATTGGATTTCAGAAGCCTTGAAAGATTTCCCACCTTTTTCACGGACTATCAAAGAGAGCTATGAAAGCTCATTAAATGTCTTAGAAGCCCATGTTATAGTTGTAGGTAGCCCATACTTTCTGATCTCTTTTCTAATTGCTATAGTGGCATGCCATTTATTTTTAAGCTATCTGGAACTGAGTTTTAGTTCTATATCCACCCATCAGCAAGTGGATATAAAGTACAGTGTCAGTCAGTCCCTCCTGTGCCCCTCAGGGACCAAAACAGATGTCTTTTAGTCATCTTTTGTTAGATATCTTTCAAACTGCAGCCATTTGAGTTCTAGGACTTCCTCTGTGCGTCACCTGGCTTGGAAGAAATGCTTAAAGGCAAGAGAATATTTGACAAAAGTACTGGTGAAAATACTTGTCTTTCTTCTGTGACAATTAGTTGTGGTAATAGCTGCAAGGAATCAGAATTAATAGGTGATTAAAAAAAAAACACAAAAGCTTTTTTTTTAAACATGAAAAAGAATTTGTGCTAAGGAGTTATCAGTGGTAACACAACAAAAAAACACCTTTGCTTCATGAATAAAAATTTCCATCAACTCGAATTCTGCAGCTATTTGACTGAATGTGTTGTTGAGCTCTGAGCGATCAGATGCACATCATTTGTGCTACTGGTGGTGCGGTAGCACTGAGGGTCACTTGGCACAGCTGGCTCTGTGAACACATGAGAAGGAGCTGGTTTGTGGCTGGAGCAGTGCTTCTGTTAAGGAGCAGACAACAGGCCATGTGTAGCTGCAGTAAAGGAGGGGGAACATGGGGTCGTGGCAACGGCTGGTCGGCACAGGCAGCAACCTAACTGCCAAGGGTCTTTACTCAATGATATTCACTTATTGCTGCACCTTGAGGAACACCATTTGTCTTAGCTAACCCTGGAGTTGAAGTTAGACCTAGCAGATATTCTAGTCTATGAAAGTGTTCTTCATGTTGAAAGCATTCTCACGCTGCACTTAATCACTATTTTCTGGCAAATACCAATGAAACGCAATCCAGACACTGTAATAACCGACTGTGCCATTGTACTCCTGTTAGGCAGCTGTGTGGTGGTTTTCCAAGAGACCCTGGGGCCCCAGTGATGACCCCAGCAACCTAAGATAACCTGGAGAACCATGCTGATTACAAGTGAGTAAGAAACAAGTTTTTACTTGTTACATGTGAGGGGTCCTCAAAAATCCTCAGTGTAAATATGTGGTAATCCTTAGTGTCAGCAAGGGTAGACTTGGAGGACTTCAGTTGTGAGACAGATTTCTCAGCAATTTAATCTTATTGTAAGCACATAACGCATGGGATTTTTTATTTATTTCATTTATAAAAGGTGTGTGCTATAATTTTCTTACTGTACTGTGGAGTTTGAGCATAGTGCAGTAGGTCAATTAACCTTGTCATGGGTACCTTGCTCAATGAGTGCTCTTTCTGTCCAGAAACAGTCACCAGGACAGGCAAAGTAGTGCCTAGGCAGGTTTGGTGGAAGCAGAGTGTTTTCTGCAGGGGCTGACAGCAAAGGCATGAGGATCCTTCCTTTCTCCTAAGTAACTCCAGATACATTTCTTATTCTCTCCCTTCCTATCTGATGGGTTCTCATGCCATAATCGATTCGTAATCTATCTTCAAAAGCGTTTTCTGCACTCTCCCAATTGTTCCCAGCTGAACTGGATTTGAATTGTGTTCTGTTTGTCTCAGCAACAGATGCCAGATATCATTAAATCAGGAAAAGTCAGGCAAGAATAGCCATTCTTTCTGTAATTTTGGCCAAAATGATCTTCATGTTTTTTCAAGACAGTTTTTTATGTTTTCTATTACTGAAATGTTAGGATGTAGACAATGTATGAGTACTCCTGTGGAACTGAGTAAAATTATAGTGGGAATGTGACTAGCTTTTGTTAACTTTTAATCCATTTTTCACCTATTGTTAAATGTAAAAATAATGAGAGAATTACAAGTAGTGCCATAAATCAATGCATGTCCTGAACTGCAGTGCAAATAATTTTTATGAGAGCAAGCCCCTGTATTTATAATAAATCAAATTCTTTATCTTTTGAGCTTCCTGATTAAAGTAATTAGTCATTTATGTTGATACAGAGCCGTCAGTGAATACTTGTTTTATATCACAAGTATTGAATCTTAAAGAAGTTTGAAAGGGTCATTGGTTATAATTAGCTACACATTGTAATGTAGATTTGTTGTTTTGTTGGTGGGAAAGTAGTTTCTTCTGACCTAGATTAATATGCTGAGCAATTCTCCTTCTGGAATTAGAACGAACTGTATTTTAAGTAAGGTAACTGTCAGTAGTTTAAGAGGCTTTTAGAAACTGAGCATGGAAAAAATTTTTGGACTCAGATAAAAAACTAATGTGAAATGCCAGGTATGACACAGCAGAGGCACTTGGGTAGGGCACGCTGTGCCAGCATCCCCACTTGTGAGACTGCAGCATTAGCTCCTGCCCCTTCCCATAGCAGCTGGGGAGAGGTCTGGCTAATGCCATTTGCAAAGTCTTTGGTAACTTGGGAACTGCACATGCTGTGTACCTGTAAAACACAGCTGTTGGCTGAGAGGTTCTCTTTGGGATGTGGTTTTTACCACCCCATACTTCGCATCACTCCCACTTGGGTGAGGCCACACTTGGAGCACAGTGTTTGGTTTTGGGCCTCTCACTACAAGAAAGACATTGAGGCCCTGGAATGTGTCTAGAGAAGGATAGCAAAGCTGGTGAAGGATCTGGAGCTCAAGTCATTTAGGAAGCAGCTGAGGGAAACTGGGATTGTTCAGCCTGAAGAAGAGGAGGCTCAGGGTTGAGCCTTATAACTTTCCACAACTCCCTGAAAGGAGGTTGTGGTGAAGTTGGGGTTGGTCTCTTCTTTCGGGTAACAGTGATAGAACTTGTGGTAATGGCTTTCAGTTGTGCCAGGGATGGTTCTTCTTGGATATTAGGAAAAAATTCTTCTCAGGAGTAGTGAGGTATTGGAACGGGATGCTCAGGGAGGTGGTGAAGTCTCCGTCCCTGGAGGTGTTCAAGAAACGTGTAACACCTTGGCACCAAGGGACGTGGTTTAGTGGGCATGGTGGGGGTGGGTTGATGGTTGGACTGGATAATCTCAGTGGTCTTTTACAATTCTGTAGAATAAAGCCACATTTGCAGACAAAGATCATGCTTATGGGGACAAGTTTAAAAGTCTCCAGAGATGTTTTTATGGATGTGAGATGGGGCAGCCTATGCTGATTGGCTGATGAGCCACGTAATTTCAGTTTAAGGTGAACTTACCTTTTGGTGGCATTATGACTCGATCAGTACTGGTCTCCTGATTTGCTGGCTGAAGTTTTCATTATATTTGAAGACAGATTTATATTATTTTTCTAATTTTCTATGTCAAACTCCAAGGATAATTATGAAAGTCGAATTCTTTCATTTCTTATTAGATTACATGCTTTATTTAGAGTTAAAGTAAGGGAACCTTCCCATCAGTTACTTTGGTCACCTGCTGTGCAGGCTAATAATACCATGCTTAATCTTAAAAAGCAGTGTCGGTCACAGTCACATTTGAATTCCAGTGTAGCAGCAAGGAGACAAGGGAGAGAAGTTAGCTGAATTAGTGCTAGTTTGTATTAACACTTTTCAAAAGCAAGTGCCTGGATGAATTCTGCAGTCTAACAGATACATCACATTGTGGCTTTGAAGATGTACTTTTTAGAAAGTGAGTTGTGTTAAGATTGAAACATATTTTTAGTTTATATTCCTGTGAGTAGCGCTATTAAAGTCAAACTTGTTTTAGTAATGCTTATGGAGAAACAAGTAATAATGTAATGTGAGAATGTGAGAGGTTCCTCTTACAAGGGAGAAAAGGGGTTGTGACTGAGGGCAGTAAATGTGAGCGCTGGCATTATTATTATTGCTTTTTTTTTCTATTGTGAGTGATGAAGCACTGAGCAATTTCACAAGGAAGCTTAAATGTGCATTAGAGAAAGTCTTTACATCTTCTAAGACAAAGGAAATGGGTTATTTTTTGGAGAATATTGTTACAAAAAAAAAAAAAAACAACCACCAACAAAACAATAAAGCATCAGGCAACACAAAGTCCTCTACAAAGATGAACATTGTCACTTGGAAAGAAAATAGGTACTCACATCCGTTCACCACCTGGGTATTAATGCAGCCAATTACTGTGCCCTGCCTTTCAGACATTATTATGTTACAGCAAGAAAAGAGCCAATATTGTATTTTATATGACCTTTCTAATGCTGTATATACACATATAGATTTGTGTTATTTGTCTCTTTGATTTGCCAAATGTTTCTTATTTCTGGCTCAAGGCATTTATTTATTGCAAGGCTTCAAGCTGCGGTAAACAAGGTCATAGATTAAGAATTGATTTCCACAGTTGCTCTAGCATACAAACTAAATTTCTCTTGGTTGGTTATAAAAACCACAGCTGGGCATAAATTCATATTTTCAGCATTATCTTGAAATTAATGTTAAAGCACATGAAAAACATTCTTAGTACGCATTGCATGCTTATTTTAGGGCTTCAGCTAAAGCTTAAGGAAAGCAAATTGTTTTTACACTGCAAGTTTCTAAATGAAACCATGTTATTACTGATCTGAAGCTTCTTTATTTTACTTGTTATGTTTTTTTCTTTATCTGTTTTTGTTGATAGGTTTTCTGTACAGCTTTTGGCAAATGTTTATGATCAATAAGTTGATTAGTTCTTTGTTTTTGCTATATGTTCACAGAGATCTTTCTGCTTATGACAAGAGTGGAATATCATTTCTGTTCTTTCAAATTAGATGATCCTGCTACAAATAGAAAAATCCTACCGTTCTGTTATCTTTTGCTCCATCTTCCCCATTCCCCCCCATTTTAAGGTACGCTTTGTGATAATAGAGGAGTGCTGTGTACCACGATTGATTGATGTGACTGTCAAAGATGTTTAACTCCTCTGTGAATCGCTGGTGCAATACAGTTTTGTAGTAACTATGAAATAAAAAGTTAAGTACAGAAATCGGCTCCTTAGTCATGTCTTTAAAGGAATTCTTTCTGTTACATAATCCCATGCCCCTGCCCTCCATGTTTGAGTTAGTTCAGTTGAGTGAGCAGAAATCACGATAGGTAATGTGTGTTTTCAGGTCGTAATCACCTTCCTCAGGTGGTTTTATGAACATTACCTTGGCCTCCACTGTTCCTATGGATATCAAAGTTATTGTACCTGCCATAGGCAGAGATAAGAAAAAGGAAATGTGCATAAATAAATTACTTCAGGCTTAGGGCTCACTTTTTTCAATTCAGATGGATGTTTTGGAGGACTGAAGTTGTGAAATCTATCTGTTGGCACTGATTCCTGTTCCCTCCCTGAACTGTGTTTTGTAGGATTAGAATATATGGATCTCCTTTCACGGCTATATCTGTTTTGTTAGCACTTGATCTCATTTTACAGAATCTTTAGCTGGAGCTTAATTGAAGGTATCCTAAATTGACTTTTGTCAGCGTTTAAAAATGCACGTCTATAAAATCTGTAAAATACAAAATAAAATTGACTTCTTAGGATTTCCATATGGAGATATCTCCAGAAATGCAACTTTGTGGTGAAATGAGGTAAATCAATTCAATCTAGACTTTCTCTGAATAATAAAACAGTCTTACTGGAAGCCCTGATAGATGGAATTATGATTATCAAGTCTGGTAGTCAGGAAGATTTCTTGTTAGGGTATGGCTGCAGGACTAACTAAAGTGTAGTTATTTTATATATATTATTACATAAAAAATTTGCAACCATTTCTGAAATGTAGGTTGCTGTTTTGAAAAGCCCTTAAATATGTATAACAAAGCTTGGACTGATTCATTAACCTTGAATAAATTCCTATGATGAATGAGGGAAATGAAGAGAAAGCACAAATAGCTTATTGAGCAAGACTCCTTGTATGTGGCTGGCTCCCTGCAGAGGCACAGTACTAGGACAGATGTATCTCTGATGTGTCATTGTAGATCCACCAGAGGCTTTGAAGGAGCCGAACCTTATCAGAAGGAAATCTTGCATGGGCCTCCTCTCTACTGACACAGTATTCAGATTTTCAAGTTTTTGTTTTTCCCCTACTCCTTTTTCTCTTCTATTAGTAGGTGGACAAATCTGATCAGTTTTACTTTTATGCTTTGATGGGGTTGGTATAAGAACCTAATAGTGCTAGAAATCTACTCCTGTTTTACTACTCCTTTTGAATTTTTCTTGCTATTATCCGTATTCCTGATGCCTTGCAAAGTCACTCTCTGCAGTCACCTAATTCTCATGTTCTCATATTCTCCACATAGAACCATTCGTCAGTGATCCCTGGTGCAAAATACTGAAAAAGGGTCCTTGCAGCAAACAGAAAAGTTTGGTGAGCAGGGAGGGGGAGCAGTCTCTCCATCTGTGCACTCTGCAGTAGGAAGAGAGAAAAGAATGGAGGTGAATGAGGGGAGATGAACGCTTTCCTGTAGACTACCTGAAAAGACGGTGATTTCTAGGTGGAAGTTGGCAATGTACATCTGGGCCAAGTCTTATCTAGCCAAATCCTAGAAGTTGGGTTTTTATGACGTTGTAAGTAATGCAGTTTGAAGAAGTCTGCCCACAGTAAGTGGTGGTTGGGACTGGGTCAGTATCAAAGAAGTGTGTTATTGTGCTGACTTTTTACTTTAAGTCTGTTTGGTATCTCAGCTCTTGATGCAAAATCTGGGAAACTGGAGGACCTTTCTTACTTTAATAAGAGAACTAAGCTTGTAAAGTTTGCTGAAGGTTTGACACATTGTTCCAGTTACCTATTTGGTAAGTATTTTTGTATTGCTAGAAATGTATGGATTCTTTTTACCAGCTGAAATATTTGCAGAGGATACTTCATCATTAAAAAACAGCATTATCGTGGATCCATTCTCAGCCTCATCAAATTGCAGTAGCACAACATCTGAAAAACATAACTTGATTCAAAACAACCTTGAATCACCGATGCGACTTTGAGGGGAGGCACCAGCAACATAAGATGATTGCAGTACAGTTTTCACTCCATGGAAGGTGTGCTCAGTGTTTTGCAGTGCCATGCATGTTCTGATACATGGCATACACCTGCACTGGCTCAATCAGCGGAAAATCGACCAAAACATGCAGATGCTGAGAGAAATGCTTGAAGAAGTTGAAGAAATAGAGGTCACCTGATGTGAAGCTTCTAGGTATGCCCTTCTTTTTATCAACAAAATGACATAGTTCTTGAGCAATTGGTTTTCTTTTACTGGATGTCTGAACGCAGATTTGTTTATCGCATTTACTGCTTTCTTGTTGATAGAAGTTGAAGAAGGGAGACGAACAAAACATACAGGGTTGTTCATGTGTATACAGATCTTTTTTCCCTTTTCCACCCTTTATATGAAGTGCAGCGCCATGGACACTCAGTGTAGTCCTAATAACATGGAAAAGTGAAAAACAAGGCCACAGGCTTGCAAATAAAAATTATTTACTCATTTGAAACTGGAAAGCAGGCAGTCAGTGCATTGCTTTGTAACTAGCTCCAGGGTAGGGATGGTACTTGAACTGTGTTTTTGTATCACACCATTCATGTATTTGATCATCAATCTCACATCATATTCTATGTTATTGACCTGTCCAAATTCATCTGTGACAGAAAAAGGCCTCTGTACTCTTTTTTGATGGCTTTTTCTGTTGTTTTTTTTTTTTCTTCCATCTGTCTTAGCTGTGTGGATCATGAGCATCCAGTGTGCAACAGTTCTCTGCTCACTTCACAACTACTCTAGCAGCTCCATGTTGTTGTAGTTGCTTTTTGTCTCTTCCGCTCAGAGGCACTGATATGTGGATATTTCCTGACTCATTAGCACTTTTTATTTTCATGGTAAATTAATTGAAATTGATTTTTGTTTAAAAGGAGGAGATGGTAAAAACTTGCGACACTGGAGCAGAGTAATAGAAAAACAAGTAGGTGCTTAGGCTTGGTTCAGATGAAAGAGTACTGTTCCCTTAATTTGTCTTTCTCTTAAACATACCAAGGGATGTTGTTCTTCCATTGTCCACACTCATCTTTACACTCTTCTTTACCTTCATCTGCAAATGGAGTCCGTTACTAAACTGAGATGCTTTCTTTATCTAATTTTAAAGTAGACCCAAAGTGCAGTCTTAAGAAAGCCAGCTCATATGATTGCACTTTCATACTGTGCTGCTGTTTGTAACCTGTGTGTTATTTGAGCTCATTTTGCTGGCAGAGAAGAGCTAGTCCTGGAGATAGGTAGTATATTGCTTCATGTTGCCCACTTCTAGTCATGTCAGTCCATATGAAAAGTAGCATGAATCTGTGCTGAGGCTTTCATCTCAGTGTAGTCCTGGAATTTGGGCTGATGCAAGTGCTCTATGTGGGTTACAGGTTTTATTCTGTTTTGTTATAAAGTCCTCAGATATTGGACTTGAAATGAACTGACATTCAGTTTTGAAACACTGGGGGCTTGAGGGAAAAATGAAATGACTGTTCCTTTGTATACCTGAAGTGGATCAATGGCTTTGTTTTTTATGTTTTTATTTGAAAGATATCATTTGCTGGCTTCAGAGTGGGTGGATTCAGCTTCCTTCTGGATCCTGAGCAAGTCACCTGTGAGAGATCTTGTTTTCTGCTGGGTGTACAGACAGCATGGAAGGGGAGAGCATCTATGAGGTTGATTCTGAAGATGGACCTGGAGGTAAGGGTGCCTATAACTTCCGTTTTCATCCCAGATGGCTGGTTGCAGGGCAGCCCTTATGACAACGGACCACGGAAGCCACAAATAGCAAATCTAACACAGATGTGTACAGTTCTTCCATTGTACTGTGTTGCTTTACAAGCAGTGAATAAAAGTGATTTTGAAAACAGCTGTCTCCTAGAGGAAGTGGCACATCTGGATGCTGCATGTACAAAGCATTGCTATTTGGAGCCTGAGATTTTCCAAACATGATGCAAACCCCAAGAATTTACAATAAAATTAAAGCCATGTAGCCTGTTCTCTATTGTTTCTTTCTCTGTCTCTCACCTGCTGAGCAACTCCGTTATACACGCCATCTGTTTTGTTAATTTTTTTTTAACTGGACTGTGGAAAACTGCATGAAATGACTCTGACTTTCTATACATACCCACTAACACTACAGCTGTCTTTGGTCAAACGTGCTAAATTCACTGTTGTGATTTATCACTTTAATAATGGGGAAAGCAGAGTTAATATTACATACTTCTGCAGTCATGCTGATGTTTGTGTATCACACTAGGGAATTTTGTCAGTTTTCAGACTGATGACGTACTTTTGTGCTACTGCTTTTTCCCACCAGTTTTTTGAATTCCTCATTTTATAAATCTTCTTGTGAGACTAACTGGGCAAACACCCTTATGTGGTTTGTGAAGCACATTCAACTGCCTAGATCAACTCACTTTTGAACTCAGAAGTCTAAATATTGTTGGAAGGAATGGGGTTCATTCCGAATAAAAGAAAGAATAACGTATAGATACAGGAGTTGGTGTGCTGTGCATCTGTATGATGGTTTGGGTATTTTCTTGCAGTGATCACTGTAAGAAGATGGGTGTTTTTTTAGTAGATTGTACTGTGCTTCTACTGAGACACTCCCTTTCATGTTTAATATTTCTTTTCTTGAGCCCTAGCTGTATCATCAATATTATTTATTGAAGGAGCAAGTTATACTGCCTTAGCTCTGAGTTTTCTTCATATTAATGAGTTGCCTCCAGCTGCTCTTCAAGCAGCCTAACATGCAAATATGTACACATGAAATTTATTTTTTTTACAGAAACCTCGGTAGTTCTGTGAAATACCTGTTTTATCATAATAATTATTACTACAAGAAAGGTATCAGCACTTATGTTTAAGTAATGCCCTTCTGCTATGTGGGTGAAGGATAACAGCAGCGTCCTCTCCTGCTTTCTGAGCATTTGTCATACCCTCTGCCAGAGTTTTTGAAACACTGCAACTGGAGCCATTGTCTGACCATTAGTGATTAGGGTACTTTTTCATTTCGTATCCTGTCTTGGGACTAATTTCCTGGCCTTATCATTATGTCCTTCACTGAATCTCTGCTGCAGTACTGTATCTTTGTCATTTCTTTCATGCCATTTTGTGCATGGAAAAATTCTTTCAGAGCTGAGGTCAAAGAAAAAAATTGTATCCCAGCCCTCTTTTAGACTGACCTTTGCTGTTAGAATAATTTATTGTCCTTGATCTACGTTTTCTAATTTGTATAGGCAAGACCGAGTATGTGTGTGTGTGTGTGTGCGTGTGTGTGTGTGTGTGTGTACACAGAATGAATAAACATACTTCTGGCCTGTTTTCCTGTCTTTCCTCTTCGTTTCTAAGTTAAGAGATAAGCTCTTCAGAGGAAATTTACTATGTTTTTGGGAAATGGTAATAATAAATCATCACTTAAGCTCAAGTTTAATAAACTTATTGGTATGAGAACAAAATTTGATCCTGTATGTGAAAGGGATATATTTACAGCTACATGTCAGTATATATATATGTTGCCTTTTTAGACAATGTGTCTGCGCAAGTAGTACTAAACACAGAGGACCATTTTGCATGTTCCAGAAAACAAGTGCTATTGTCTGTGTGTGAATTACTAGCTAAAAGTTCAAATAAAAAAAAAACTCCTTGCTTCAAAACAAACTCAACTATCTCATTCTGAAAGTTGGAGTTACGGGGGTTATCCCCTCTGTTATCCCTTCTGTTATGATCTACCCTTCAGGTGCTGTTAGCTGATGGGTAAGGGAAACGTTGGATGTTTTCTGTGTTCATAAAATCTAGAGAAACAGAATTCTCTTTGTCTTGCTTTTCATGTTTCTGTTTGAGATAGAAAAATGGCAAAGGTCTGCCAAGCTGGAGGATACTGCGCTGTTTAACAGAATGTGAACTAAATGAAAGTGTGACTTCAAAGTGAGACAACAATTCCACATTTTGAGAAGAAGGGCCTTTGTTTAAGGTGTCTGCATACTTTCTGATTTGGGTACATATGTATCAGTGGCATGTAACAAAGTGCACATACATCCTACATACTATAGATGCAGCTATACCTGGAGTTACCTATGTCCTGAGTGCAAATGTTTATTTACAACTAGGCTGATTTTATGTCTGAGTTCTGATACATCACAGACTTAAAACAACTGTGCCTGATTTCAGCAACATGAGTAGAACTTGTCAAGCTGTTTACCAGTACAATGAAATTAATTCCAAAACCCAATTATGCTTCGTTAATTCGTATGTCTGTTCGCTGATGAAAGTGTTTCCTGTGATTGTAAACTCCCTGATAGGCTGCCTGAATTTGAGGGTCAAAGATTCTTAAGAATTTTTTGTCTTTTTCTGTCAGAGACAAATAAATCAGTAGGTCACAATCCCACTAATGCTCTTTCTTTCATTGGTAGTTAGTATTTTCACATTCAGGAAGGTAAAGGCCCCTCCCCTCATTTTAATACAAGCAAGAATTTGGACTTTTGTGAGTGTGGGTGGCTGATGGCACTCTTTAATATCAGTGGGAGCTCACTGGGAATGGTGCCTGTCGAGTCAAGTAACTTAATCTGGTGCTATAGAGTTATGTACTTCACTCACATGTCTAGTTTAAAAGCACTGTAGGTAGCTGTGCAGTTGGTCTCGTACTTGGTCCTCTTCACTTGATATATTACTTTCATAGTAGGTTTTGAATTCCTTTTCAGTCAGTGCACAAAGAATGATGAAGATGGGTTTTCTCTCAGCCTATAAAGCCTAAACACAGTGAGCTTCATGTATCTAAAAGAGTGTTGCTTTCCGGAAGTAGAAGGCCTCTTGCTGTTTTTCTAGAGCAATATTCTGCTTCCTATATTTCTTTTGTAAACCTGATGCAGATTTTACAGGGTGTTGTCATTAAATGATTGTTTTTACTGGTAGCCATTTGTCTACTTTGATGTGTTCGTAAAAGTAGCCATTAACATGGACAATGCAGAGTTAAATATATTTTGAGATGTTTCTTTAGAAACTTCTAATCTTTTTCAATATTGAGTGATAAGATTATTAATTAAAATTAAAGGTCAACATCTATTATTGCTGTGTTTCCATGACTTGATTTTTCAATATTTAATCCTATTTGTTTTGGCAGAGAGTCTGCACTGGGTAGATCTATATGTTGAATCAATACCTTAGCATGCATTTTTCCTTGTTGGCTGTATTTAATGAGAATCTGAAGATTTGCTGCTGCTCTTTGCAGTTGAAAGGTATGAATGGGGAAAGATTAGGGAGAGGTTAAATGCCTTGTGTTGTTCTATTGCATTGCTGATGTTACGTCAGGTCTGCTCTTAGCCTGGTGTTTTCACTTGTAGCTCTCGTTCAAGTACAAAATCCTTCCTGCATGCTAGCAAGGTTGCAAGTCAGTTGCTATGGTATTCAGCATTTTATGTAGCCAATCGGCTTGCTTTTCAGCCCAGAATAAGAAATCGGTCACACAGACCAGAGCCGTAATGAAAAGAACAGCTATTGTTGGTGTGAAAATCTACAGAGGTTGGGAGAACAGCAGAATATGAGTTTTCAGAAAATACTCATAGCAGTCCTTGTTTATGGTGTTATTTCCTACTGTATAACTACATGCTAATGATAGTGTCATAACAGTATATTTTCAGGATTATGATAGATTCTGCTGCTTGTCTTCTGCTGTTTGGCTAATCAGAAAATTCTGGAATGCTGCAATGTAATATAGAATGGCTTTGAATGTCATAATGGAGCTGAGTGTTAGCGCAGTCATCCAAGGTCATAAGAAAGACAAATTACTTGGATAGAAGTAACGTTCTGATAGGTACTATCCAAAAAGGGAGGACAGATACCTAAGTTTTTTTACAGGCTTTTAAGAAACTCTTGTTTTCTTGTAGGTAGGTTTGTTCTCTTCCCTATTCTGTCCACAATTGTATCTGTAGGAGAAACAGAAAATACTGCTGCTTTTAAGGAAAACTTCATCACTCTGAAGTCGTGGTTATACCACAAATACAACTTCTTCATTTCAATTTAGAAATCACTAGAAACCATGCTTGTAGAGGAGAATGCTACATACCAAAGGCCATCAAAAACCTAGACAACCTATCACAACAGGTATGTGAAAACACATATTTGAATTTGAAAATAACTTTACAAAAAAAAGTAGTGATTTATTCTAGGAATTATTTTTATGTACTCTATACAATATATTGGCACAATATCTTTGCCCAGTGGATAGCAGATTCTCCTGAGTTATGAGAGCCTTTGTTTTCTAAACCCACTGACAGTGAACTCTGATACCTCTGCTGTCCCTGAATAGGAAGAGAGTCATCAGGGGTTTGGTTAAGAATAGTAGCTGAATGATGAAGTTGAATCTTGGAGAGGCTTTAAATGATACTGCCAATAGATGCTTAGGTGAGGTCTCCCAGTGGTGGCAAAATGGTGTAGAGATGAATGAATTTATTTGTTATTCAAATCACTGCAGTCACTGATTGCATTAAAAAAGAATGAACATCTGAAATTCTCAAGCCAGAAAGTGTACAAGAGTGCTCAAAGTCTTGAAAGTACTTTCTGCATTGACCACTGCATTTATATACTATTGCAAGAAATTGTAGGCAAGATATTCATTTTAGTAGTTTTTGGTTTTTCATCTTAATTGCAGATATGTTCTTACATACTTTCACTTACAAATTGCCGTTTATTAGTAATTGCCTTTGTCTACTTGCCACTCAGCTTTTGCAAGGCGAGTTGTATGGGATGGGATTTCATTTAGAAAAGCCTTGTCTTTTTAAGGAAAGGGCAATGGAAGAGTTGGGGAGTGGATTTAAATTCAGTTACAAAAACAATTCTCTGTGTTGATCTGGTGCTCAAAGACTTGGCTTGCTTCATTTGATGCTTTATTTACCTTTCACAGGCTATTCACTGCATGTAATGATTCTTTTCAGGTTGCCACACATACCAGTCCTCTGCCATGTTAATTATCATAGCCCCACTGCTTTTGGAAATTATGATTGAGTTATGATAGTCTGCATTCCAATAGGACTTGCTTCATTTTTACCACAGTAATTCTATGAGCTTGATTTGCATTCACTGGTCATTAAAAGTGCTGCTTTTAATAGCAGAAATGTAAGCAGAAGTTAAGCTTTGCCTCTATAGGATGTGTGCAGACACACCCCTGAGTTACTAAGTTGAATGGATTGCTGTTGTCTGGACTAAATTCACATGATGACAAATACCTTCATAAAAAGGTATTATCAGCAACTCATCTTTCTAAATTTCAAAGATCTACAAATGTAAATGTAAGCATGTGTAAATAAGCATTGAAGTCATCCTGCCATGTGTAATACTTTTTTTTTTTCCCCTGTACAGAGCTTGCATCTATTTGCCTTTCAGTATATCTTCTAGAAAAGAAAGGCTTTGGAAGAAAATTGAAAGAAACAAATTGAAATGAAAAATATATTGCACAAGGTTCCATAAAGTTATTCTTTTTGATGCTGTACTGACTCGGGATGAGGGATTGATAGCTTGGTCTTCTCTGTTTTCAGTATTAATAAAATGGGTTCCTTAACTCTGTCTCCTTACGTTCTGATGACAGACATACAGTTTGCTTCTATGAAATAGAGCATTTTATTTTTAATGCTTGTGTGATTTGTTGTTCCTTACTTTTCCCAGTTTTTGAGTTTTCATGAAGAAGATCCTACCTTTCATTGAAAGAGAAGGGACTCCTGTTCTCTAGATGCTATAGACTGATACTCTGGTGTCCATTTAAAATTTTGAGTGAATCAGCTGATTTCTTCTTAAAACTCTGCTTCAATAAGCATCCTGTTGAATGGTTTTTGATGGTGGGGGAATTGATGAATCTGAGCTGAATCCCTTCAGTGGCTGCACAAAGGGCTTCCAGTTACCTAGATCAGGAGTGAACTATGGTACCTGTCTGGTAATTCAAGAAATAATTCTTACCTCCTTAGGATTAAGAGTTTGAGACAGGAAAATCACTTGAGTGTCTGCAAATTACGCAGGTGGAAGTGAGCAGAAGAATTGGAGAGTTCTGGGCCGAAGCTTTTGATTTATACTCTCAGAAGTTTGGGAGAGTCCATTGAGAAGGTATTTTTCTGTTATTGAAAGAGATTGAGAGAGCAAGGTGCTTTCTTGCTTAATGGGGTCAACAGTTTTGTTCCTGCTTGAAAAATTAAACTTAGATGAGGAAAAATTTCACCTTTTTTTTGTCTTGAATTTCTTTGTTTTTTAGGGAAAGCTATAAGGAAGCTTGTGCGCAAGGCGACTGGTGGCATCTAGAATCCTCAGATTTCCTTGACTGAATCCATCTGGTTTTAGCCCTAAATATAGTAGACAAGCTGCACTGCTTGCACTGATAAATTTTATCTTCCAAATGATAGACCAAGGTACAGTCATGTATACTCACCATTTTTGATCTTATTTCACTCTTAATTCTGTTGCTTTTTGGATAGTTGTAACAGTATGGTTTGTCCCTATTGTTGTGGAAGCTACTAACAAGAACAAGTTTGCATCTTGGTGGTAAACTTACCCACTCCTGTGGTTTATCAGCTTGTCTGCAGAGGCGGGTAGACAGTGGGACTGCTGGCAGGACAACATCTTATGGTTTTACTATATGTGGAAAAGAAAAAAGTGAGAAAACAATACCAAATGTCATCTCCTTTTTTTTTTTTTTTGACATATATTTTCATTTACTTTGTTTAGTTGGCAGTTGTAAAAGGGAAAGACACTGTTCTAACAGAGCATAGCTTTTGACTGTAAGGTAACACTTCTTATCAAAAGAAAAAATGGATCGCTGTTATGTTAAGTGATAGTTAATCATTAGTTTTTTTATATCTGCTTTGGTATCTCAGATAGCTGTGGGAATAGCAAGCAATCTCAGGCCAGCTGGCCTGCATTCTGAGTCTAGAAATTCTTTTTGCTTTTGTTTTATTTAGGGGTGCCTTCTGTCTCTTACCTCTGTCTCTTTTAAACTATAGAGGAGGTGATTTTGTTATCACAGATCATACTGATTTCATGATGTTTTTTGAAGTGTTATTTCATGTGTGAAAGGACTTGTTTCCTCTGATATTCCTGTGGGTATCTACTCAAATATTTTGTTCTGCTTGGATAGTCCATGAGATCTAAAACTTAGGACTGATTCTTTTAAAATTGTTTTATCTGAGCATGACATAGATTGAATATTAATTCAGTTGCACAGAGTCCGTTAAAATTTTGATCATATCGGATATTGAATTGGAAAACTTCAAAGCTGTCAGCTTTTGGCTACAGGTGAAGGGGAGGAAGCTTCCTGGCTGTTTCTTCTCTGTTCTTCATGCTACATGTTGAGCTGCAGCTGTTCCCTGCCTCTACGTTCCAATGTTGAGCCTTATCCTTATGTTGGTGTGGGCCTGGATACAAAATCTTCCAATGGTTTCTCTCTAATGCAGAATGCACTTGGGATAACAGCTGGATCTGGGGTGGATGGTCATAAGCTGGATTGGCTGGCATGTTTGACTTCTTGTGAACATTCAGATCTTGCTAAGGGAAATGCTACAGCAATCCCAGTCTGATCCTATGGAGCATGACTGCAATAGAGAAGATTGCAGGTCACGCACAGAAGATTTGCTAGTTGCCGGCAGCTTTCAAGCTGCTACATGAAATCTGTTTTCTGTTGTCTGGGAAAGAAAATACTAAAGTATGAAAGCTGCTGGGTTCAGGCTTGCAAAGCTGGTCTACAGGTAGTTATCCTTCTGAATAGAATGCTGTTCAAATACATGTTCCTGCTGAGAGGCTAGTGAAAAGCTCCCATCATTCTGCTGTTTAATTAATACAATACAGCAAATAATTGAAAGTATATGTCTGCCATTTCGATCAATAGCAATAGATTGAACCTTTGGCATACAGATAATAGGTAATTTTTTTCTCTGTTGTTAGTAGAGCCAGAAGATAAGGTTGCTGAGTTATGATACAATCTCTGATGACATTCAGCTGGCCTGTGGTGGTCAGTGTCAAATCCTTCCTGTCCTTCTCCATCCCTAGTGTTTCGTGATAAGTCTCAATGTCTATTGTGTACCTGTCTATTTAGCAACTGGCAGGTCAAAGCACTTGGGTATACTAAATTCATTTTCTTTGTTCAAGGAAATTCTGGTATTATTTAATGCTGGTTTTAGGTTATCAAAATTATTACACTTCTCTATTTGCAGTCAGTGGGAAAAATCTGCCAAAAGAACTTCTGAACAGGAAAGACTTTGTGAGAGGTTTCTCATTCTCAGTGTGAACACCACATAGGGGAATATCTGGGAGCTGGTGAAGGAAATTAGAGCTAATTATAGGCTTTGGCTTAAGGTGCTGCTGCTTAATGCATGCTGTGAGAAGAGGGAATGGGCCAGGCTCCCTCTGCAGTAAGAAAAGGGCTGTCGTGAGCTGAGAGATTTCTGGTACTATAGTTCTGTAATAGTGGTAAGAGGCTGAAGATTTTTAAATCCTGCTGATGAATGAAAGGGATTTAGTAATTACAGAATTTAAAAATACCAGGGGCATTGAAAATGTGGAATGTAAAACATATACTGTAAAGAGGTACACAAATATTAGGGAAAGTTGGATGTTTGCTCATGTGTTTTGTTAGCTGCCTTTGTGTTTTTGTGTACAATTACAATTGAGTTTTACTTCAGCACAGTAGTAATTCAGTGAAGGAATAAATTTATAGAAGGTAATCTTCAAACTGTCATGGCAACTCAGTCTCTTGTGTCACTGTTTTTGAGAGCTTGATCCAACTACTTTTCCTTTATTTTAGAAGTCTTCCTATATTAAAAAAGATTTGTAATAGCACAGATGCTGCAGCTAGATACTAAGAGTGAGAGCACTACAGTTATAAGCTCACTTTAGCTCCAGTTCCTCAGCACAAAGGGCTGATGATAAGCATCATTGGAAGAATGTAACAGAGGATGCAGATTTGAATAGTTCAGTGAAAGAAATCTAAAAGGTGGTTTTGCAGAGAACTGGTTGTGCTAATCTATTCAATAGTCAGTAAAGACAGGCCTTGCCATAAAGAGGCAAATAGCAAAGAAAGTTTAGGGCAGAGTGATGCAGTGAATAACAGAAAGTTATTTTCCATTTTCAACTACTGAAGAGATTTTATGGAGATTAAAAAAATTGCTAATACAGTCAAGCATGCAATACAGAAGGTAGGTCTGATCTGTGGAAGAGCAGTCCATATAACCATAGGTCTCTAACAAAAGGACCAAATGGGTTTGTTGAAGTGATGAGATGATGCTAAGTGGACAATGAGGCAACAAACCAGGAATAGGCAAAGCTTTAAATTCTGTTGAAGTTAACAGCTGGAGCATGAATTTGGCACAGCAAAGTGTTTCAAAATGAGGTTTCAGTTCTTCATAACAATGGGCAGGAAAGAGGCCTGTTATTATTCTTTTTTGGTCTATCCAAGAACTGTATATAATATGGTATTGTGTGGCATTTGCTTTTGTAGTGGTTCTATTTATCTCACTGCATTGCCATCTAATAATACAGCAGACGTGGTCAGCAGCTGAAGTGGTGCTTTCTCAGCAGCAGCATACTGATCTGAACTTTTATGTACACTCAGCACTGCAACTCCATTGGCTGCATGCTCACAGTGCTGCTATTTAATGCTGCTGTAGCTGCTTCTGACAAGTTGATGTACTGGCACATCAGGAGCCTCTATTGGTACATCATGGGGAGACAGGATGATCGGTAACTGTGTGCCCTTGCAGTGCAGTGGTTATAAATACACTTCATGAGGAGATCACTTCTTAGTCTTCAAGAGATATTTGCACTTGCGTGTGTTACGGAGGTGGTGCTAGTGTGACCTGTCTGATAGAGCATAATTAAAGGTACCAAAAACCTGATGTGCTGCCACATGCCTCTAGACTGATAATGCAGTGCTGTGTTTTTCAGTCATTAAAATGTGCAAGTTTAATAGCTAACGGGCTTACACACCTATGTGTTGTATGGTTTTTTCTTTTTTTTTTTTTTTTTAACAAAATGTTAAAAAATGCACAGCCAGGAATTTCCCTGGGAAAACAAATAATTCTGAAGAAAACAAAGAAAAGCTTTTAACCAACATTATTAGTTATCTTTTTAGAATATTCTTTTCGTTTTGGGTTTTTATCTCCTTACCTATTTGTGTAATGAAGCCATTAACTAGTTTACAGCAGCAATTAATGAAGATTAGTTTAAATATTAGCTTCAAAAAAAATTAATCTTCCACTGAGTCGAAGGACAGAAGTCATAATTAGACAGTCAATATAATAACTTGGTAGCACACAATGTCTTCAAAGTTTTAAATACTAAAAAATGGCAGTCACTTTGAACAGCTGGTGTTATACCCTTATCTTAATATATTTAGGAATCTGAACAGCTAAGCTGACTTTTGTCTTCAGAAGTTGTGTAGAATGTTTGCATGTAAGTGTGTAACACGGTACCTGGCAATGTTCTAGATCAGATAAATTCTGAAAAACTACTGCAGCTGTTTTATTTAGCAGTTATTTTTAAGCCTCCTTATAATTATACTTGTTACTTGCTAGGTTGCTTTATATAATCCTAGTAGATAATGTACTGTTTTTTTGTTTCTGTACATTGGTCTTTTCTGATTAATACAATGATTGAGACTAAAGAACAGGGGTAGGAAAGACAACGAAAGAAGCAAACAGCAAAAGTGAAAACAAAACACGTGAAAACATCAGGAGTCTTCCTCCACTGTAAAAATGAACAAGCCTCACGTTGCTTCCTCTCTATTTCCCAGAAAAAATCAACATATACAAATATAAAGGTCACAGAATCATAAAATCCTTAGAGTTGGAAGGATCCTCTGAGGGCCATCTGGTCCAACTCCCCTGCAGTGAACAAGGACACCACAGCTAGATCAGGTTGCCCAGGGCCTTATCCAGCCCCACGCTGAAATCTCCAGGGATGGGGCATCAACCACATCTCTCGGCAGCTTGTTCCTGTGCCTCACCACCCTCACTGTAAAAGATTTTTTCTTCTTTTACAATCTAGAATAGGTCTGATTCTGGAACTGGGTGTTCAGCTGTCCCCTTGTTATTGCTTCCTAATGCTATGCTAATATTCTACCTAGGAGGTAAAATACCAAAGCCTACAGCCCCTTAAGGGTAATTGAAGGAGATCTGTATTCTTTTTCTTTAATTAGAGATTTAGGACATACTTATTGAGCTTTTACTCATTAAACTTTATGGCCAATAAATTTGAAAATGAGCATTCATCTATAGTGTAGTTTGGGTACAGATTGTCAAGTAGAAAGGCAGTAAAGTTTTTGTCATCAGGATGTGTGTGTGTATTCTTCCCTGTTGTTTCCTAGCATTTTAATGGAACATTTAATGTAAATTAATAACTGTGTAAGCTCACTATATCCAGTTATGCTTTTATGTTTAACATGAATTTTAAATAATGTCTTATGCTGCTTCTGCTGTGGTTAAAGTAAATTACTATGTTGCCATGCTACTCAGTAGAACTGTGAACCCTAAGGGCACTGAATTACGAAGTGGTGAAGTTAATTCACATTGTTTTCTGTAGCAATTAATTACGATTTCAACACAAAGCCCTTTAACACAAACTTACCTTTTAATTGTAAAGTAACCCAAGTCCCAGGTTAAATAGTGGGTCATTGTTTGCTGTGTCTTTGAGCCGTAGGCACTCTGCAGTGGTTGTATTTGTAATTGCTGTCCACAAGGCCCCTTATTTTCCCAGTACATCAGGGTGCATTCCCCTGACAGTGGTCGCTTCCATAGAGCACAAGGTGGGTCTCCTTGCAGCATCTTCTGCAGACTAATTTGTGCTACAGCTTTGGCACCAATATTTGCTGAAACCATACAGTTCTTGGGGTGGTCACACTGAAGTCAAGCTGTTAAAACACTCAGAGTATGGAGAAACAGAAGAAAAATTGTGGAGTAGTTAGAAGACTATCACTGCACTGAGCATTGCATCTGTTTCCTGCTTTGCAGTTGCTACAGTTGCAGTGCAGGGGAAGCTCAAATGATGTTTTTAGGCACTATATATATCCCTATCTTTCTTTCTTATCAATTGTTTAATTCTTAATCATTTGTAATAAAGTATTCAGCTATCTAGTCCACTGGATAATACTTAGCTGATCTGTTTCTCTACAACAGAAAGCTAAATCAAAACCTCTTCAGCTGTAGATAGCACAGTTGTGTTGCTCACTGGATTATTTAGCTGTTTCCTGTTGATACAACTAATAATATATTGGATTTTAATCCAGCTTGGAGAAAACTGCACGATAAACAAACGTATTATCTAGGAAAATGAGCACTATATTTAATAGCTTGGCAAACTGCTGTTATGAAACGATTTTATCTAAACTTTAATAGTCATGGACCTCTTCAGGAAGCAGATAGGAGGCATGGGAAGAAAAGACTTCTGTAGACACTTAGTTTGATTAAAATATTTTGGTAAAGAATCATTAATTATTTTAAAGAAAGCCACAGTGGGGTCTTTTCTCCTGTGCAGATAAGAAACTGGGAAGTTTTCATATTGCATTCAAATGTGCAATGTGAAATGAATTAGTTATTAGCCATGTCTCCTTGGGACATATGCACTATAAATAGGTTTTCTAAGTCTATTACTTTATTTTGCTCTCTACTGTCTTGTTAAATTGCACACCAGAATAAGAATGTCTCCAGTCCATTGAACACTGTAGCCATATACAGAATATGGTACAGGTTTGGCTGTTTCAGATTGAGGTCTGTTTTTGTGGTGCACAAGCAAATGGAGGACTCAGTGACCCTGATTTTTAGAGTGCCAGGAAAACAAAATACCTGTTGTTTGTATCACCTGTGATTGTTGTACAAAACAAGTAGGGGTTGAAATCTAGGTTTAATAATTTAATAAGATCTGTAACACTATCAGTAAGCGATTCCACAGCACTACGCTTGAACCATATTCCTACCAAACACTCCCAATAATAGTCCAGCAGCGGCACTGTCATCTTTGTGCTCTGTGTCCCTGATCTCTTGGCAGTATGTCACTTTCTGGCATCACAGTATTTCTTCCAGTATCTGTTACACTGAGATTTAAGTGGCCACCAGGCTGCCACGGCCCAAGAGCTGAGTGAATATCTAAGATGAAAGCTGGCCCTTGAGCAATTAGCATCAGTTCAGGGAGGCAGACGAGTGTGATTAGCTACTCCTCTCTTTATATTGTGGCACAAAACATGTGCTCATGTGGTTCCATCAATAAATTGTGTGAAACAAAATGCTTTGCATTGACTGCAAATTTTCTACGGGAGTGAGAAATAGTAAATACAGGTTTATAATGCTTTAAGTATTTTCATGGTGTGTTTTAATTTGCTTGAGTGATCTCACATGGTGCCTTGAAGGGAGATATTATAAATAGAATTATTATTATCCTTTTTGCCAAAATGACATTGACATCGGTTGGGATTCTGTTGCGAACTGAATAGCATAGCACCACTGAAGTAAAAAGACAGATTTGGTACCTTCTGTTTAAGTTGTCAGGGTTGACTGAATTCTCGTTTAATTCAAAATCCTGTTTTATAGCCTCTATTACAGTTTCCTGCCCCCTCCTCCAAGTCTCTTGTCTGGGGTGACAGAACGTAACCATAAATGCAGTTGCTTTATATGGATTCTTTTTTGTGTTGTATTGTATGTGGTTTTGATTTTGTTCTGTTTCAAGTAATAATCCATGTTGCTGTGTAGGCGTGTAAGCAGATCTTTCTGCTTCTCTTTGCTTGTAATGCAAGTCCTCGGGACTGGACCAAAAAATGCCGATTCAATTTTAAAATGCAAATAGACTCCTCATCTCCCATGGCTGGCAAACTTTCCCTTTTATCCCTCAGCCAACTTCTCTCCAGTCCGCTGGTTCCCCTTCTCTGTGTCATGCTTGCTAACTTTTGCAGATTAATTTTTTATGAGAGATGCTACTGAAATGACTTTGGAGATTCACATAAATTATCTCTACAGCTTTTCCCTCACTCTTTGCTGTTGTGAAAGATTTAGTAACGTTTCTCCAATGCCACATAAGTTCTCTAAGCCAATATTGAATGCTTTTCTAATTTGTGCATTAAGTAATTTCAACTTGGTAGATTTTTTTCAATGAAGTAAAATGTTAAATACATTACATAAATTTTAATCAAAGAGGGGAGGTGAAAAAGTATGTTACTTCTGTTTTGTTGTATACACAATTGTTAAAGCTCTGCAATGTAAACTGAGCAGAGCTCTGCCTGCCGAGAGCAGCTCTGTCTGCTCCTCTCCGTTGCTCTCTCATGGTGCAGGGGCAGCAGTTTCTGCTGCCTTCATTAGCAGAAAATGGTGAAATGAGGCTTCGCTGTTTCCCTGCTTCACTTTGTTCCCGCTCAAAGGAGAACAGACAGGGCAGCTTTTTCACTTTTTCACTGGATACCTGCCCTTGAGTTCTGGAGAGCCTGAGCAGGAATTTATACTCATATAGGAAGAAATGACTTATGAGTGGCTGTGTCTGGTACTTGTTTCACTCTTTGAAGTCAGCAGGAGAGCATCATTTGTGTTGTACAAAGCTTTGCCTGCAGAACTGAGATGTGACTGCTGTCTATTTTGTTCTGCATGCTCTCGTGTTTTAATATCTTGGTAGAGTTTCCCAAATTATTTTCATGGTTAACGCTCTTCTGGTAAATCTGGGAAACTTCGATTTTTGTGAATAAGTTGATTCTGATTTGTTGCAATTTTTTTTTAAATTTTTATTTTTAAGAAATTAGATCTTATATTTGGTATAGCTGACATAAGGCCAAATTTGCCATCTAAGAGTCTTATAATTTGCTCTTGAGACAACAGAGTGAATAAAACCGAGCGTTTGTTTCTCTATGAAGTGTAGCTCCAAAGCATTGCAGTTTATTTAAGGGTTTTCCAACACTTATGATTGGTGGGTAGTGCGTGTATAGGTATGAAGGTTAATTAAATCAAGTGGTGAAGTTTGTAGAACAGGGAATGCTTCATTAAGCCCTGTGTGAATTAACTTGTACAATCTGTTCACAATACCCCAAGTGCCATTCACTGAGACAGTGTAATTACAGCTTACACACATTTTCATTAGTTTGTGTTTCTTCTACTGTGGTTGACATGTATGTTGTCTTCACTGAAACCTTGGGTTAGAGGAGGTACTGCTCACTGGTGGGCATCTGAGCATGCTGACATCCAGCAAATCATTTTTCCTTTGGGTTCTAAAAAGTCTTATCCCAGATGTAATTAGGCTTGTGATTCATCAGCTGACACATTTCTTTTTTTCTCAAATTCCAGACCTAGCTGTAGTCTTGTGAAATACTGTTCTTGTACACTTCTTTGCTTTAAACAGACAAGGCAATTATCCTTATCCCTCTGCTTGTTTTTTTTTTTTTTTTATTGTTTGTTTGTTTGTTGGTTGGTTGGTTGGTTTTTAATGTAAAATTCATGCATTTTTATCAAGTCAAGATGTAACAATAACCTGAAATTGTAGTATTTTAGACATATCTCTCTTTAATGACTATGAAATTTGGGCAACTATAGTACCTCGTGCAGAGACATGAATGCTTCAGTAAGAATTTAACTATATAGATTCCCAAGGCTTTCTTTTAATAACAGCTTACAGTGCCAAAGAATGCTCTTAGACTGAAGTGTTGTTGCCAGTTGAGGCAAATTTGCATCTCTCTTGATGTATGCTTAGTTGATTTCCAGAGAAGGACAGTGAAAGATTCAGTTGTTATCACAGAATCAGACCAGATGCATGCACAAAAATCCTGTAAAGTTATGTGCGCATGCTTAGCATTGCCCTTCAGATAAGTCCCATGGGTGTATTCAGGTGAGAGAAGTTAAAGATGAGAAAGCAGTTGAAGATTCAAGTCTGCAGACAGAAAGCAGTATTAATGAGGATAATAAAAGGCCTAGTGAGGGGGAATGAACAATGACCTTTATTGCAGAGCTCATCTGTAAATTATTTCTTTATGTTAAAAAAAAAAAACAGCATAAATCCTTTGTGAAGTTTCTAGACTGATGCCAGTGAATACAGCTGGAATGTAACAGAAGTAGCAATAAAATGAACCTCCTGCTGTTCTATTGATACCTTTAAATATGTTTAAGAGGTTTGTTTAAAATTTAGATCCATGCCATGGGGTGTCCCAGCTCTGCCAAGGGTTATCTTCTGCCATGTGGCCAGCAGACTCAAGCAGTAGTCTGAAAGTACAGGAGGGTTTAGGGTTTATGCATTTTATCTAGTATTTCTTTTTGGTATCTAATCAAATAAAGTAAAACATTTCACAGAATCCTCCTGCCTATGTTTTCTCATGTCAAGAATTAGTGTTTTCAGATGATACCCTAAGTTGCTATCTGTGCTTTCTGGATTTTTGAATGACTGCAGATAGGATTGGACTAGATGATCACTGTGGCCTTTTCCAACCCTAGTAATCATAGCATCACTTGAGTTGGAAGGGACCATCAGGTTGTCTACTCCAACTCCGACTCCCCTGCAATGACCAGGGACATCTATGGTTCCATCAAGGTGCTCAGAGCCCCATCCAGCCTGACATTTTGTGTCTCTAAGGTTGAGGCATCCACCACCTCTATGGGCAGCCTCTGTCACTGAAGGGTTCTGTGATGCTCTGATTCTTGGTGAGTTTTAGTTTTACACAATGCATTTCATATAAAAGCCATTCCGGAGGAAAGTTGGCAATAAAACGTTTGAAATTATGTGTGTGTTTAAGTCAGCTCTTCGGCGTGCAAAATGTTACACAGACATAGGCTGAAGGAACTTCAGAACAGTACTTGAGAAAACCATCAAATCATCATTCTAGGACTAGAATGTTTTGGAGCAGAACTCCCAGTCTTTGAGCACATAATGAAGAATTATAGGAAAGCAGATGAG